TTTTAACATTTATAAATTAATTATCTAACTCATATATTAAGAATAAGAACTAATACTTAGCAATGAGTCACGTATATTATCTGAATTCTGCATAAAGTTTGAAATAAAAAAGTTGTATTGTTATTGCATATAAGTAATTTGACTTGCAAGTGGCAACAAATTTTATATTAATTAAAATTAAAATTAAAATTATTTATAAATGTGATGTTAATATAAAATTTTACTAATTATTTATCACTATTTATTGAAGTGATGCTTTTAAATCATTCTGACACTATATTTTTAAATTTTCTATCAGTTCAAAAAAAAACCTTTACATATCCACGAAAAAATATTTCCATAATAAATAATACTAATATCTGTGACCTCTTGAACATTAAACTAAAACTATCCAAATCTAGTTTCAGCTGTCCACATATTAAAATTTTCTGTTGATAATTTTTGAATGAACATTCATTTCTTTAAAAAAATAATAATTAGAGATTGTTTTTAGAAAAAATTAATCTTTGTCTACTTGTGATTTTGACTTGGTTGTAACTTAATTTATATTCTTTAATTATTTAAAATATTATTCTATATATTTTTTAAAAACTAAAATTATATATTTTATGAAATTTATAGAGTAAAATTTTAAATTATGACTCTCCGTTTATTGTCCAATTTTACAGAGCCAAAAAAATTTTTTTTTATGTTTGCATGAATGCGAAAAAATATTAGCAGCATACATATAAATTTTTTTTTATGTTTGCATCAAATTTTATTTCAGTCTATTAAGTTTATGAAGTGCATTGTCACCGTTAGTTTCATCAACCAAAAACTGATCACTCATTGAACTTAAATGATAAATGGGCAATCGAATGCTTACAAAGTATCATCAAAGATCGAGTTGCTTTTATTTTGATTTTTTTTAATTTTCACGACTTAAAATATAAAAATATTATATTCAAAAGATTAATGCAAGCATACTTTGTCAGCTTCTAATCGCACAATCATCACTTAATTTCAATGAGTTAGCATTTTTCGTTACACAAAATTAACAGTATTAAAATTAAAAATACTAAAAATTCACTTTATAAATCGGAGGGACTAAAATAAAACTTGATGTCAACATAAAAAGACAAATGTATACTTTGGGCAAATATTTTTAATAAAATTAACTTCAATTAATTCGTGAAAAAACTTAACTCCAATCAAAACTAAAAATACTCAATAAATTTAACCAAATAATACAGAATATTCTAAATTATGTAAAAAAAAAAAACAATACGCAATAAACTAGCTTTTGCAAATGACACTTGCATGATCTAAGCCATAATAGATGCCATAGACACTACTGGAAAAAAAAAAAAATCTTTTTTACATTGCTTTATCTATCCCGGCTTTTGTGCCAACAATGTAAAAATTAAGACGGTAACATTTTTGTAAATAATGAATACAATATTTACACCGGTTATGAGCGCAACCGATGTAACCCTTATTATTTACAACAAACATTAACCCGACCAATGTAACTTATCTTTCAAAACATGGTTATTATAATAACCGGTGTTTGAACTAAATAGATGAGCCTCTTTTGTTTTTTTCCCTTGAAATAACATATTTGAACTCGAAAGGTTACTATATCCTGTCACTATCTATTTAGGGTTAATGTATTCAACTATTGACGGCCCTGCAATGGTGAAGTAGCAGAGAACTCTCCCGGTTCGTTTTCTATTTCCTCTTCCTTCATCTCCCCTTCTTTCCCTTCCACCTCCACCTCTTCTTTCGCCTCCATCCTTCAACCAGCTACTAACAAAAGTAGCTACGATTGAGCACAGCCTCCACCAAGTAGTTTCTCACTTCTATGCCTTTAACAACAAAGTTAACCTCCTACTCAATGATTAGGACATCAAGCATGACGTTTTGGATGATCCTTCTATTGCCTCCTGTTTCTTCTTCTTTGAAGCCCCATCCTCCTCTTATTCCTCCAACTAATAAGGAATGGGAGTTGTATTTTTTTGGGTAAAAAATGTAATCTTTTTTTTTATTATTTTGAAATGTTTTGTAAAGGCCTATGCATCCCCAATCTCATATGTAATATATATAGCTATTTTGTGATTTGATTTGTCCATTTTGTTTCCTATTATTGTCCTTTTTCTACATTTTGCTAATGTTTAACTTTGGTAGTAGTGAACCCTAGAACTTTACTGGTTTAAAGAACATGAATTGGTAATTTTTTCAGTTTTGGTTGAGTAAAATTTATGTCGGTCATGTTGAAAACTGATTTAGTAATAAACATTTGTAGCAGCTTTGTTGTGTCCAATGTAATATGTAAATGTGACATCGGTCTCTAGGTATAGCTGGGGTAAATCTTTTGCCCTAGTTATATAAGGGCTCTCTTGTGCTTACTTTCGCAGCCTCAAAAAAACACTCTTGGCATGCACTCTCTCCTCTTAAGCTGTGGTGGGATGTTATGGAGTGCTCATGATGTCCCTTCTGTCACAATTGCCCTCATTGTTTTTCCCTGTTACCGTCACTATTTTATTCTCACCATAGATAATATCGTCGTTGTTTTGTTTCTTCCCTAAACTATTTGCCTAAACTTTAATACCCATACTCATTCTGTTTGAGATCTTCATCATCACTTTCGATGTTGTGGGTTTTCACCACATGATGCACTCCCTCTCGCTTAGGTAACTCATTCAGTTGTTCATTTTTGTCGTCAACATTGCTATTTGTGTGTTTATTGTTGTTTACTGTTGGTTGTTAATTTGCTTATTGGTAACTATTTGTATATTAACATTGCTGTTTTTACTAGCTAGTTGTTAATAACTAGTATTAGACTTTGTTTTTTTTTTAAATTTATTTATGTTTGGTTGTTTTATCCTTAACTTGAGAGGGTTTGGATTAAAATTTAAGCATGAATTATGCTTGCAACAGATGTCCAGGTTTAAGAAGTTGGCATTTTTTTTAATTTAAATTTCTAATAATTACACTGGTTGGTATCATAATTCATGTCAAAAGCAACGTTTTTTACGCCGGTTATCCCACAGTGTAAAAACTGGGGACTTTTAACACCGGCCGTATTGTCAATGTCAAAGACTTATTTTAACTAATGTAAAAAATCTTTTTCCAGTAATGAAAAGTTGACAAATTATTTTGGAGCTATCTTTCTTGTGTATAGAATTTAATATGCTCTCATGAAATGTAATAGCAATGGCATGTCACATGACACTCTTTTACCACATACTTCCTCATTACATTTTCTCATAATCATAAATATACTTTTATTTTTAAATATGTATTTATAACAAAGAAGAAAAATGATGAAAAACAACGTAAAAAAATATAAAAAAGAGAGTGTAACAAATGAGAAAAAAATAAATAATTAAAATAAAAATTATTAAATTATTAAATATTGAAGCAAATTCAAATTAAACCAAATAACCAATTCTCTCCTCAAATTTGAAATTTATAAACACAATTGGAAGTTGATTTGAAAAAATCTTCTCTCTCGATACATATGGACTAAATTATTCCGTTCAATTTAAAATACAAGCATCACATAATCAAATTACGCAACTCAAAAATTAGGTTAAAGTTGATTTAAGATAATAGATATGCAAAAATACAATTTATTTTCCTGAAACACCTTTACTTATGGAGATGGTAAGTGATAGGGCTGTTCACAAGACGAGACGAGACCGAGACTAGCCCATCTTGGTCGCGTCCTGATGAGCAGAAACGGGATAGAAAATATGTCCTGTGTCCCATCTCATCTTGATATTGTCCCAATCAGAATGGGATGGGACAGGAAGAAACGAAACAGGGACGTCTTGTTTTTTATTTTTCTTTTTTTTTGAAATTTTTTTGCATTGTGATTAGGCTTAATTTTGATTTTTGATTTTATTTTTTTTAGTTCTTTGGGCTTACCTCTCTTAAACAAAAATCCAAATAAATAATAATCAATACCATAATAACTCTAAAATTTATTTTTACTATTCCAAAAAATCATCAACAACTATAAAAATAAAAAATAAATATAAATATTTTGTATTATACATGCCTTAAACATTTTGTATTTTTAACATTTAATAATTATAATATGATAAAAAATAAAAAAATTACTATCAAGACGGGACCGAGGCAGGACGAACCCGTCTCGTCCTGGTCCCAACTTTTGTCCTGTTCCATCCCATTATGGTCGGGATAGGAACAGGCCGTTTTTGAACACTCTTAGTAAGTGAGAGATAATAAGTGAAAAAAGAAATGAGAGAGAATAAGTGTAAAAAAGAGATGAAAAAAATATATACTACCTCCATTCCTAAGTATAAGAGTTAGTTGGTGTTTCTAAATGCAATATCCCAATTCAGCTTATCTCCCAAATTTATAGTTTGTTCTCAAAAATATCCTTATTGATGGTAAGGTACTTCCATCCAAGTGTAGGTTCAATATATATAATTGAGTGAGAGTAATTTAAGGAAGTCAATTCACATTTGTTATAAATAACTAATTTAACTAATTTTTTTTATTTTTTTAAATTAGTTATCTAGCTCTTCTATTAAGGACCAGGCAGTAATTAACTAGAAATAAAAATAAAAATGTATTAAATTATCATACAGATTCAAATTATAACTTATAATAAAAATAAAATTCCTTCAAAAACTTGATACTTGTATTTTGAAAAATAGGACAAAAAAATCTTCTCCTTATATCTTATAAATAGGATCAAATAACTAAATCACGCAACTTAAAAATTTGGTCAAAATTGATTTAAGATAATAATCCAATATATTTTCCTGAAACACTCTTATTTATGAGGATGGTGAGTGGGAGATATAACGAGTAAAAATAGAAATGAGAGAGAATAAGTAAAAAAAAAAAAAAAGAGAGAGAGAGAGAGAAATAAAAAATTATAATACTTATGGCTATATATCTTGAAAAGTGGGAGTAATTCTTAATTACCGCGTCGGCCCAAAATCTGTCTGAAACAAATTGCCGGAAGGACGATTATTCTGTCCGGGAAGCCACAGTTGGCCACCAACCCTATGGATGCGACACCACCGCCTCCATGTATATATATGCGTGTGTTGATGCGTGTCTATGCATTAACGAGAATCAGAACAAAGTGCAGATAACGAAAACGAGGTGTGCCTCTGTTCTGACCCACGTCTTTCTCGGTCCCTCTGCTTCTGAGTCCCGCGAGAAACGATAACTTTTGTTTTCTCTTCCTCTTCAGTGGGACCCCATTATTCTTGTGTTTGCATCTTCCTCCTAAACGACGATCCACTCATTCCCACATCAACCCTTTCTCTTCACTCTGTCGTTTCGTAGCTGCTTCTATCTTTGTTATCTTTCCCTTTTCTCGTTTCTGGTTGTGGTTCTACTTGAATTGTTTGATCCCTTTGAACCATTTCCACTCCCTCATCGTTACTCGTTGTTTTACTGCATATTGAACCCGAGATTTGTTTCAGAAATTTCGGATTCGCGATTTCGGTTATTTCTCTGTAACCCCGTTAAGTTGCATCTAGATTTGATACCTGAATTTGAAGTTTGTATTTGATTTTTTTTGGGATTCGGTTGGTTGGTTGGTAGGTGGTTGATTTGGCGTTGTATCTGGGGATTTGCTGGTCGTTGCATTTGTGGTCTTCAATGGGCTGTTTGGATGAGGGCCATTTCAATGTTGAGCATGATAATGTTGTGAGTAATGGGTGTGTTGAATTGGGTTTAGAAGAGGAGGGGAATACAAGTGCCATTGAAGATGCTGTGAAAGTTCTGTTGCTCGGTCTGGGGGAAGATGTGAACAGGGAAGGTCTCAGAAAGACGCCACTTCGTGTGGCCAAAGCCCTTCGTGAGGGAACCAGAGGTAAGTACTATCTATCTTAAACTTCTGTGGTATTGGTTGTTTTCTTACTTTATGCCAGGTTAGACGTGATTTCATTCTCAGCGCCGTAATAAATCTCCGTAAAGCGACTTGTCCTCTATTTCTGTAGAAGGGACAAAAAAAGAATTTTATGTATGGAAAGAGCGGTAAAAAGTGGTCTGTACATTTGCATTTTTACCTCTTTTAGCTTTGTTTTAGCTTGGAAGATTCATATCTTTTGAGGAAGGTTGTTTTGATGTTGAGTGTTGTTGCATTTATATTCTTAACAATGTTACTCTTAGGATCTGGCTTTGGTGTTTAGGACTTATACTCTAGAACAGTAGGTTTTTAACAGTCCAACGTCTTAATTTTCTTGAATTTTTTGAAACTATCTTACACCAACTTATACTTTCACTATCATCATCTTCTATCAATAGAATGTCCCTTTTCAATACTTGCCGTCGCAAAATTCTTCGTAGTTATGGCCGTTATACCGTTTTATCTCTGCTTTGCACTGTTTTTGAAGCAAAAGAATTTCTTTTGGCCTCTGGTGTGGTGGTGGTACGATTTGCATTTCAGGCAATTTTTTAATAGTTAGCTGAAGCAATTACCTGATTATTAATTCCTTCAGTTAGTTTGGGAAAATCTATCTTTGTTTTGGGAAAAATTTTTATTGGACGGATAACTGAACACATACGTGATAGTTGCATTTCCCCTATCACTTTTGGCTCACTACATCCTAGATTTTTGACATTTTGTTTAGTAAGTTTATAATCTTTTTGGATTCACGGACCTTGTTAGAAATCCTTTATGAGCATTCCTCAGTTCCATACTGTGAAGTTTGATATTTGTGGTTCAGATATGCTGCTTTTCTCATGACATTCGGTGCTGTTGAGCATTAATTTTATGTATTTTTTTTTTTAAATAGACATAGGGCTTGAATTGTGAGCTGAAAAATGTTATTGCCCTGCTCAATTCTTCAACGTTGTGTTCTGACTCTCAATCAAGTGTTTACCCTTACTTTAGGGAGTCAAACATTTGCATTAATTGTTCTATGCATTTCATCTTCAATCTTTCCTAAAAAATTAGAGATAATTTATTCATTATGGTCTGCTCGGAGTTTCTTGACTGAAGCGATCCTTACGTTTTCAATGTCTAAATCATGAAGCTGCATCATATGAGAGGTTAAGGATGTTTTTCTTAATCACATTATCTGTTTATTTATTTGTTTTGAGGAAAGAAGTTTCAGCTTGTGTTATAGCCCACAATAACTGTCACTAGAGGCATTTTGTGTTTCCTCCTTTCTTTGTTCCTGATTAGGCTGCCGGAATAGTAAAGTTCTCCTTTTGTATTTAATAGTTTTGTGGTGTCATTTTTATATAATATGGTATATGTAGCTTGCTCTCAAGGCTCTATTTTAATTTTTTACATTAGTAATTATAATTCATTAGGGACTTTTCCGTCAATGGCCTTGGTACATGCATTATCTAGCTTGAATAATGTCCAGGTGACATTTTATTTTAAATTTAACAGTATCCTATGTTCTTGAAATAATAAATTATAAGGGTTCCTATCTTCCTACAGGTTACAGACAAAAGGTGAAGGACATTGTTCAGGGTGCACTGTTTCCTGAAGCTGGTCTGGATAATAGAGTTGGACATGCAGGGGGAGCAGGGGGGCTTGTGCTTGTTCGAGATCTAGACCACTTTTCTTATTGCGAGGCCTGCTTGCTTCCATTCCAAGTCAAGTGTCATGTGGGCTATATCTCTTCTGGTCAAAGAGTTGTTGGTTTAAGCAAGCTCTCGCGTGTGACTGATGTATTTGCTAAACGGCTCCAAGAGCCTCAGCGTCTGGCGAATGAGATCTGTACTGCTTTGCATCAGGAAATAAAGCCAGCAGGTGTTGCTGTTGTAATCCAGTGTTCTCATATTCACTTTCCAAACATAGAATCAGTTCTTCTTGACTCCAAACACCAAGGATGGGTGAAGATACTTGTTTCTTCAGGTTCAGGGGTTTTTGAGAACAAGAGTGCAGATGTATGGGCTGATTTTTATAATCTCCTTAAATTTAGAGGCATTGATAGGGAAGAAATACAGTTTAGAGTATCATCTGATCAGTGCTGGTGTCCCTCTCTGTCTTCCCTTTCCGCTGAAGCTTCCTCCAAAATTGAAGCAGTCAACCCAGTGACTGTCGCTGCAGTAGCCTCAATTCTCAAATCTTTGGGTGAAGATCCATTGAGGAAGGAGCTTGCAGGAACTCCAGGTCGATTTGTGAAATGGTTGATGAACTTCCAGAACTGCAACATGGAGATGAGGCTGAACGGTTTTCTTGGTAATGGTATGAATTCTTCAGACACCAATGGGAACGCTAACTTGAATGACAAACAAATATGCTCTGAACTGAACATGCCTTTTTGGTCTCAGTGTGAGCATCATTTACTTCCATTTCATGGTGTTGTTCACATCGGATATCTTGGCTCCGATGGATTTAAGCCCATCGGAAAATCCCTTTTGCAGTCCATAGTACACTTTTATGGTTTCAAGCTCCAAGTTCAGGAAAGACTTACCAGACAAATAGCAGAAACCATTTCACCACTGTTAGGTGGAGACGTGATAGTAGTTGTGGAGGCAAGCCACACCTGTATGATTTCTAGGGGAATTCAGAAGTTTGGAAGTAGCACGGCTACCATTGCCGTGTTAGGAAATTTTTTGACAGATGCTTCTGCGAGGGCTATGTTCTTGCAGAGTATTCCAAGTTCTACTTCTCCAGAAGGACTATGATCTTTGTTTGAGCTCACTTGGAATAATTTAGCTGTCGTTCTAATTGTCATGTCAAGTTATCAAAAAAATTGTCAATTCTTGTCTCTAGATTTTAACATCCTGGAAGCATGAAGTGGGCGTACTTTATGTGGATCTGGAGGGGCAAAGAGATATAAACCGGGAGACAAACCTGAGCTAAATTGTCAGGTAAATCCAATTTACAATGACAATAAGTAGCAGAAGCATCATAAGGAGACATGTAAATATGTTAGACGTGTTACTTATTGGGATCCATATCTGATCTATTTACATGTCTTTCTTATAATTGGTTTGATGTTTGTGTGTGTCATATAGTAGAGTTCCAAGTCGTAATTGAAGGCTTATTTGGCAACAGTGCAAGAGCCTACACATGGATAATTCTGGAGAGATCCTTCCATTCTATGGATATTCTGAAGAAAAAGATTACGAGTTTCTCATGTTTTGTTGTTGTGCCTGTGTTTTACCAGCAGCAATTGTCTGATACGTCTTCTTTGTGTTACGACGTTTTAAATATCATTGATGTGTGCAACGTCCAGTCAGAAAATTAAAAGATGCTGTTGATGTCTGTCCCAAAAAAAAAAAAAGGGAATCATATACCGTTGGTGTTACCCTGCTTATTTTCCTCGTGCTACTTTCACTACTGTCTTTGCATTTTCTTTGCTGGGAAGTTAATCTTTTTGATTTTTCAATTTTTAACTTAGTTACAATTCTATCTTTTAGCTATGATTCATTATGGCCTATTTTCTAAACTTTTAGTTTGTTAAAACTCAGTCCCTAAATTTAATTTACTTGATTGAAATTCAGTTCCTAATACTTTTCTCGTTTAACAAAGGTTAAAGTATGCTTTTAGTTGTTTATATTTACATAGTGTTTCATTTTAGTTTCTTAACTTTAAAAAGTATAATTTTGGTAATTTAATCCTAAAATCATTAGCAAAAAATGATGATAATAAAATCTTGAATGTTGATAAAATCATAAAACATTTTCAAGTGCTAATGTATTAACTTTTATTTTTAAAACTAGTAATTATTACAAAAAAATCACCTTTAATAATAATAATTTTGGACTTAAAAGGCTAAAAATATGTTTGCTCCGGTTTAAAATATAAGCACCAAATAACTAATTCACACAATGAGAAAGTTAGTGAAAATTAGTTAAAGATAATAAATATATAAAATAATAAAACTTAGTTTCTTAAACACCTTTATTTATGGAGAGGGTAAGTGGAAGAGAGAATGAGGATAAAAAAAAGATGAGGGAGAATGAATGGAAAAACAGAGACAAGAGAGACATACAATTAATTAGTAGCAAAAATGCAAAAATATATTAAATGATCAAACAAATTCAAAGTAATACTTGTGAAAAAAAAAAAAGCTCCTTTAAAGATTTGATGTTTATATTTTGAATCAGAAGGAGTATTTTTTAAAGTTAAAAAAATCAAATTAAACCTTTATATGAAATTAAAAGATCAAATATATATTTTAATTTTTAATAAATTAATTATTATCATATATAACCCATCCTGAGTCATCATCTCAGGCATCCTATATGTTAAATTTATGTTTTAATGATATCAAAACTAAGAAAAGATTTGTTTTGCAAGATAAATAACTTAATTTTGATTAGCAAGTGATCGACATAAAGAATTTGATTTAAGTTACACCACACTCTGAGTTGTATTTTATATTGTGTTTGTTTTAGAAGGCAACTTGCAATAACTTCCATATGCATAACATGGAGTCATACCGCTGTTGGAGAAACTGTTCCTTTTAAGTCAAAACTTTCGATAACCTCGTGAGTGTTTTCACCTAACAAGTTTTTTTTTTGGGGTCAAAGCATTCAATGCATGTTGTAATAACTATTCATGAGTCTAACAGAGCTCCCTTCAAGGCAAAAATGAGATTCTAACGACTATGCTTCAATTACTTACTCATGCTGATACTTTATTTTCATCAAATACTCTTTAAATTTCAGTGTTTCCCATCGTCTATCCATTTGAGCAAGAGATTAATTATCGTAATATATTACCTTCGATGCTTAATATGAAAGTTAGATAACTAATTTGAAGAGATTAAAAAAAATAAGTTAAGTTAGTTATTTGTCACAAATCTGATCTTTCTAAATTATCCTTTTCAATCATGTACGTTAGATGATTGGTATTATATTTTGATGGGAACGCTCTACAAGCAATAAGGATATTTTGGAAAAAAGATGATAGACAAAATATATTGAGATCTTTTATATAGAACCAAATTCTATTTCTAATTAATTCTTTTATTAAGGATATGAGGTAGTATTTCCCATTGTGGAGTGTTACTCAAGATAATGAGTTTTTGAGGGGTTTAGTTAGCACTTCTCTGCTCCTTAATATAAGGCCTAATTAATATAATACCTAATTAACTAATTTGAGTAGATTAAATATGTTAGTTAAATTAGTTAATATAATTTATTTTTTTCTAAAACTTCATAAGCATCTTTCTTAATTCCTTCATTCTCTCATATTTGATTATTGTTGAAAAAGTATAAATAGGGTTAATGTGAGAAAAAATTAGTAAACATGTGAAATATGTCTTACTCTTATATATAGGACTAATATTAACTTTCTAATGAGTTTCTAAGGAGAGGAGGAGTAGTTTACAAGTTGCAAGTGAGGGTGTTATAGACTGGGATTGTCTGGTCTTTATTTAATGCCATGTTTATGTTTTAAATTTGCTTTGATTTTCATATCACTTAATTTACTCCCCTGTTAGGTAAAATATGGCACTAACATTATGTACCTTCCGAGTAACCATCACATGGATTCTATACAAAATTAATTGAGAAAAAGAGGATCAAATTTAAGAAGACAGAATACATATCTATGAGTTTATATGGAAGAAGGAATTAGAAATAAACAAAGCAGACCAATTGCCCTATTCAGAATTCAGGTATCAAAAAAGAAAAAAAAAAATCTTGGCCATGGAAGACTAAACATCAATGGAGAAAGTTGCTGCAAGCTCACTTGTAAGAAGTTGAGAACCTTTCGAAAACCAAGGGCTGATTTTCTTTTAGGAAAAATTACACACAGGCTTTATAGAAAACAATTAATTAAAAAAATCCCTCAAAATCCCTAAATGCTTCCTAAGTCTCCAGGGACTTCAAAGCAAAAAATTAAAATTGTAAAATTACCTACTTGCCTCCACTGATGGAAAAGGTTGTGATTAGTTGCTATGTAAGTTGTGACTGTATATTGTGCATGTTATCATTCGGTTGAGTGTGGGTTGTAATTGGTTTTGTGCATGTTGTGAATGGCTCAAATGTATGTGATTGGCTGCTGTGTAAATTGTGATTATAGTTATACATGTTGTTATTCGGTGAGAGTAAGTAGGTAATTTTACAATTTTAATTTTTTGCTCTGAGGTCTCAGAAGACTTAGAAAGCATTTAGCAATTTTAGAGACTTGTTCAGAATTAATTATCTTTTATGGGACTTGCGTGTAATTTTCCCTTCTTTTATTCTCTGTCTTCCCCCGGGTATGGAGCCTCCGGTTTTCAAGCCGTGGATACATGAGGAATAAAATAATTATATTACCTCTTATTCTTAATATAAAATTTGAGCTAAAATATATATGGTCACTTAACTTTAAACAGGAGTTTAATTTAATTTATTAACTTTAAAAAATATACTTTTTATTATTTAATCTTAAAATTGTTAACAAAAAAATAATAACACTAATATCTTAAATATTGATATAACATTTTCAAATACTAATATATAATTTGAGAAGATTATCTTAATATAAAATTCATTCTATTAAATTGATTGCTTGTGACTTCTGCCTCTCAAGACCGAGGAAGTTTGGAATCAGTTTCTATATTTATCACTGTGATGAGCACCGTGATGCTCAATATTATAATGAAATCAACATTATTTAAATACAGTTTTAATGATCTAAATTTAAAATTTTTAACTAATAATTTTTAAATAAAGAATTATTTTTTCTGAAAAAACTTATAGTTAAAATATTATATTTATTTGAATTATCTACTTATTAAAGCAAACAATTTTTTAAAAACAAAAATTTAAAAATTTAAATCACTCATTCATATTACAGTGGCAATGTGATGAGACCCATGCTGCTTGATGTGCAAGTGCAATCTTATGTACACGGTTTATGCCCCCCGTTGTTGTTGTTTAGAGCATTTAACTTGGAAGCGATTGGCCCATGGCTCTGAAGTTCATATCATAGCATTCTCCTTGCAATTAAGGTTTTGAAGGGGGCTGTTCGCCTCAAGCTCTCTATACTGCTCACGCCGCTACTGGTCGACTCAGCTCCCGTTCTCAGTGACTCCGGTCCGCTGGCCGCCGCATCTCACCCTCGTGTTTCTGTTAACTCCCAACCTCTCTGTCGTCCTCGCCTTCGCATTGACTGCCGTTGTCACTTGCCGTTCTCGCGTTCCCGTACGAAGACCACTCTCCGCCTCAGTCTAGCCACCTCAGCCTCAGCTTCTCGCCTTCTCAGACTCGCGTTCGAAGATCAATCCCTCTCTCTCGTCTCTCTGCAATTTTTTTTGCCCTTTGGCTCCTCATTTGGTATGATTTCATTCTAGTTCTCTGCACTTATGCCAGTACCTTCATCCTACTGGTGTCTTCTAATAAAGAAATAATAATAAGAGTAAGAGGATGACACAAAGGTGCGTGCTTTATAATAGTCCGCGAACTGTGAATCGAATAGAACATCAAAATGTACCACCACTGTTTTCTCGGCCTATCGAGAAAAAAAGTCTAGCTTTAGGCATATTTGGCCATCAAATTAAGTTGGTAGTATGTATGTTTGGGAAGGAATAAGCAGATTTCATGTCATTTAAACATCACTGGGGATTGAATATGTGGCATTAGTAAATAATAAGGTAATCTACACATGTATATTGTTGCTGCTGTAATTATTATTAAATGTGGTTCTTTTCACCTACCTAGAATGAACTGCATATAAATGCACATGAATGATGGGAGAGAGAAAATGGGTGGCTAAAAATCTCGTGATTGCTGTGAGAAGAAATTGGAGCTTTTGGGGACAGTGGGGAAGACCGGAGGAGAGCGTTTGGGCACTTTGATGATGGGAAAAACATTTAACTTTTGGCAGCATATATTTTTTTATTTTCTAAAATGTAAGAAATGAAAGCACAAATTTATACACCATGTTAAAGAATTGCTGCAATCGCACAAATGAGAGATAATTATGTATAAGTAAAAGCAAAATGAAGGAACTAAACGGAAGAAATGATGTGGCGGCAATGTAACTCATTAAGGGCAACCCGTTAGGGAGCATATAGAAAACAGCAGAGTTGAATTCTGAAAATAAGTTGGAGGAAATAGAAGTCTTAGAAAACAGACTAAGGCCTATTTTTGTTTCATTACACGTCTTTGATAGCCTGTCCAGCACTTTAGTCTTATAATTTCAGAATTTCTTCTTTCTGCTGGTAGTTATATTGTGTGACAATTGACATGCGACTCTGTTGATGATAATAAGTTTTACTGGAATGATTATTAATGTGTATGAGCCGTCCGAACAAGAACAGATCATATTGCAGACTTGATTAGTGCTACTCTGCGTTGCTCAATTTTGATTTGAGAGTATTGTTGGATTGTTGAATACTTATTTTTCTTCTTGGGTTTGAATTATGTTGAATTGTGTTGTTTTATGGAGTATTGTCAATGGCTATATTGTCTAGAATACACTTATTTTTCTTCTTGGGTTTGAATTATGTTGAATTGTGTTGTTTTATGGAGTATTGTCAATGGCTATATTGTCTAGAATACAGATCTTGATTAATAACATACTGTATGAAATGTTGTAGTGTATCAAATTTCATTGTACTATTGCAACTGCTAATCAGGTCTGATCAAATAATATGTTAGCTTTTAATAGGCTCAAAGCCTCAAATGTGTAGGCCTTGAAGCCTGTTCAAAAGCTTACATTTTGTGCAGGCTTCAATAGGCTTAAGGCCTACAAGGCCTAATCCTCCAAGCCTATTTAAAGGCCCACATATTAAGTATAGGCCTTTAAGGCTATAGGCCAAGCTAGGCCTTTGGTTGGATCAGACTTGAGCCTAAGAAAAAGCCTGCATGTAGGTTTCAAGCTAGGCTCAGGTTCTAGGCCTATGTTGTAGGCTTAAGCCTATTTGGAGAAAGCTTGGCCTACTTCCAACCCAATGGCTTCAAGCCAGGCTCAAGTTCTAGGTCGCTGTAGGCCCTAGCCTATTTGGCCAAAGGCCGGCCTATTTCCATCCTGGCAGGTGAAATTTCAGGGTTTAGGGATTTTTACTTTGTTGATTTGCTTTCTTCCTATTTTTGAAGGGAGATGAGAGGGCTACAGCTACCATTGAGCCAAACTCAGAAGGTTCGACTGCAGAAAGCTCTGCAACAGCTCGAGTCTCTATCTTCCAAGGTCAATTCGGATGCTTCTGTTACTGTAGCTGATTCCATATCTGTTAACCACGAAGATGGCTTCCTCAAGTAACCTCTTCTTTCCCTCAATTTGGCTTTCAGATTATTTCTTTGATGGAACAATGCTATAGTACTTTGTTTTCAATCACATTTGATTCATGTTTATGTTTGTTTCTTCTTCTTTACTCTAGGGGACATGGTACCACTGACCTCAAAGGTGAAGTGGTTGCCACTGTATGCGGTGTGGTTGAGCGCGTTAACAAGCTTGTGTATGTCCGCACGTTGCGCTCCAGGTATGCTTAATTTTATTAAGGACATTGAATTTGCATTACAGAAAGAGGTTGTATTCCCCGTTTTCTTCCTCCCCTTGTTTGATGGAATTTAGATTTGCATAGGTACAAACCCGAGGTCGGAGACATTGTGGTAGGTCGTGTTGTTGAGGTACAGAAATTACTGTTTTTCTATTGTTGACTACTTGAGTATGCTTGAAGTTGAATCCTGTGTATATGATATGAATTTGAAGTATACTTTTTTATGAGGGAGGCTTTTTGGCCGTTTGAAACACTGTGTGACATTTCAAAGTTAGTAATGACTGTGAAAGTGCTTGAGGGTTTATGATTATGCTGATCTAATTTGACACAATTCCTGTACACTAGTTTGGTTCAACACAAATAGTGGTCAGAATCTGTACTTTGTGAGACTTACCCATCTTCCTGTCTGAATGCACTTCTTGTTTTCTTTTGGGTGAAGTGAAAAATCTGTTAAGGAAATTTATGTATTGTATCTCATCAGGTGTTGGGGAGAAATCAGAACGTGTAGGATCTATAAAGTCATTAATAAACGTGTCAATCAAGTGAGTTTATGTCCCCTTTGTTCCTGTTCTTTCAGCTTATCCATCGTTAGTTTTTGTGTAGGTTGTTCAAAAGCGTTGGAAATTGGAGATAAATTACAGTCAAAATGCCACTTTGATGCTGTCTTCAATGAATTTGCCTGATGGCATCCAGGTATTTGATTAGTTACGGAATCTCTTGTAATTCTTTATCAGAAGAATATTTGCAAGTTTACAAGTGGTAAATACTTATCTTCAGTTGAAAATATGTAAAATTTGGAAGAGAGAAAATTAGATTGATGGGTTTGGATTTCTATATTTAATGGGCATATAATGTTTTATTGAGCCAAGCGTCAGCCATGTAGACACTGCCAGGTGGAGAAGTGCATGGACTATGGAGAGGAGACATATCTAGATGTAGCTGTCTGGAAATTGTTATACTTCTGTTGTGGTCTCTGCCATTTAGGGCATAACGAGTTCCAAATGTCTTCAGCAGGGTTATTTCGCCATGTCAGGCTGGTCCTGGTGGAACATGGTATTTGGTTATGTCTAGGCAGCTCTAAAATCAGAGGCCAAAATGATTTTGATCATCTTGTTTTGGTGCAGCCTAAACTGAAACGATATGTTGGCTTGCAAGTATCATTTATGGCCTGTAGCATCTATTTTGTCCAGGTCAAGTACTGGTTGAAGATGTTTTTTTATTCCTAATGATTGGGGTTTAATCTTGGCTTAGAGAAACATTAATCAAGAAATCACGTTTAAAGAAATTGGTAAATGGAAGTCTGGTTATTCAAGAGGCAATAGTAAATTATTTATGGATATCATATATTGTGAAGTTCCACAAACTCTGAATAGTACTGAGAAAGAGAGCAGTTTCATTCACAACTACTGCAACTCTTGAAGTGCTCTGTTATATTTCTTCGCTTAGATTTTAGTTTTTCCTTATGGACGTGCTTCTTTCTTTTTTAATTTTTCCCAACTGAGTTTGCAAACCCTAAGTCAGATTGTTGTTTACACTGCTAGAGACGACGGACTGCTTTGGACGAACTCAACATGCGTAGTGTTTTTGAAGAGAATGATGTTGTTTGTGTAAGTACAATTTTTTCCTACGCAGTTTAATTTATTGAATCAAATAGGAAAAGACAGCAATTTATTTACTCTATATTTTATTTTTGCTTTAGGCTGAAGTTCGTGGTTTCCAGCATGATGGTTTGCACCTTCAAGCAAGAAGTCAGAAATATGGGAAAGTATGCGATCTTTCATTTTATTTTGAACTTTAAAGACACAAATGCATGCTTGTTTGGTTGACTTTTTTACCTCTACAGGAAAAGTAATAATCAGTTTTATAAGCTGGGAAACAAATAATGTTATGGAAATGCATTGCTATGCATGCTCTGTTGCTAGCAGAAATAAAAATACGCGTCTTCAGACTGCCTGTTTATAGCTGAGTCATACAAAAACAACCAAGCACAGGACACAATAAAAACACTGTTTACAGCCAATATGATAATGCGTCTCATGTTCTTATTGCTTGAAATTTGTTGGGATTGTGTTTTGAAGAATCACTGTGACTTATTGCGCTTTTTGATCCCATATCAGCTTAAGAGAGGTCAACTGCTTACTGTCACTCCTTATTTAGTGAAGAAACAGAAGCAGCATATCCATCATATAGAGCAGTATGGCATTGATTTGATTCTTGGTTGTAATGGATTCATATGGGTGGGGGAACACATTGAAGCAAAAGACGATGACGACATGGCGGATCAAGCGAAACAATCTGAAGGGCAAGAGCAAAGTTTCACGGCATTAGAGACAAGAAAATACATATGCAGGACTGCTAATGCTGTTAGAGTATTATCCAACTTGGGGTTCAATATGACATTGGAAATTATCAAGGAAACGGTTAATCTCAGCCTCACGTTGAATCTTGATGCGCATGAAATGCTGAGTTCTGAGTTTTGTGTTCTGGTTGCTGAAAAAGAGGCTGAGAGGAGAAGCTCGATAAAAAAGAAAAGATAGACTATTGCCTTGGATTCTTCTAGCTGGGAATTTTGTAGCTGTGACTTTTAGGATGAGATTTTTAATTCATAGTGAACATTTAGTTACATCCATTTCCTTTGGTGGCAAGTTTCTGGTGATAAGTTCTATAATCCTAGTGTTTGGATATAATTCAGAACCGTTCATATAGAGAAGTGGTAAACATCGTTGGATGGAATGTGACCATTGGTTTACTTTACAAGTTTTGCTGTTCCAAATTCCAATACTTTCGTGTGTGTAATTTCTCCAATATTGAATGAGTGACCCAACACTTTTTTCTATGAAAGTCAGTCTATGGAAGTGCCGTATAAATTTGTCGATGGGGGTAGGCGGCAGACGACTTCATTTGTTCCTGAGACCACAAATTTTATTTTCAAAAATTGTAATTTACATTTTCTTTTTCATTCATTTAATGTGCATTTTCTACAATAATGAATCTATAAAGAGAAAGATAAAATAATATAATTGGATATAAATATAGTTTTATTCATTTTTAATTCTCATTGAAAATATTATAAACAACATTTATTGGTTAAAAGATCCAGATTACATAAATTCCTCCCCTCGGTAATCCAAGGGACATGAAAAGACTTTTTTTTTTTTTGTAAATGATTGCATATTGAATATCATCAGAATTATGATTTCTGTAAAAATAGAGAAAACTGACAATTGGCTTCTCTTAAAAATTAGGTTTAATGATTTTCATGTTAGACTAAACTCGCTTTAAATCACTCATTTGGATTGACTCTATCAATTCATAGAAGATTAATCATAAAATTTGAAATTTATAATTACCAAAAAAAATTTCGAATTTATAATAATCATCAAGACAATACACTCCAACATTCATGCTATAATATTAGAAGTTTCTGTTTGGTATAGAAAATCTTACTCGCAATGTTAATATATCAACATATATAACTCAAGCGCTGGTATTATTCATCAGCCGTAATAGTGCAGTTCACCTTAAACTGAGTAAACATATCTTCCCCCCCCCCCCCCTAATTTGCTACAATTTAAACACACACATAACAAGTCAACACTGGGCGACCTCATCCAAACGTGATGGGTGATGTTGCCACTAGGCAAGCAGCCATTGACATGAGGAAACATATCTAGTTATTACTACATACACAGTGAATTATTATGAGATCCCTGCACATGCAATAGAGGAACAAGATTAGCTCTGCACAACTAGAGACTGAAAATGCTACCATATGTGCCGAATTTTGTGCCACTCTATTTTGGGTTGCAATCCAGGAGCCTTGTGCTTTGCACCAGGGCCAAGAATTTTCCAGCCATGACGATGAGGATGACAAGGATGTATAAATTTATCACAGGCTAAGGCAATGGCTATTCCGAGCCCGAGGATCAACAAAATCATATATATTGATAAAGAAGCTTTATGAACCTGCAATCAATAAATTTTTTTGAGTTCAAACTTTCTATATTTAGGCTTAATTTGATTCTCACTAAGAAAGCAAATTAGTCCCATCAGTATCATTAATCTGTCTCTCTAATTCGGTTACATCAATCAAATACTTAAATTATTTGAAAAGGGAAATAAGAGTAATCGACAAAAAGATGAAATTATTCTTGTCGCTGCATGAAATTGGGCTATTGATTGATTAATATAACTATTAATCCCTTTAATTTAGCTAATGATTATTGATAATCATCACTAGATGGGCTGAACTTTTTCTTATAAGCAAATAAGTGGGCTGATAGGCCATTCTTTCTGGCAAGGTATTAAAAACCTCTGCATTGGTCGAGGTAGTAGGTTAACACTTAGAGGGTCCAGGGATCAAACTAGTGAGGAATAAAAAAATTAAAAATTAATGTAAATTCTAATCATGCCATCCAAAAGACTAAGTATCAATTTAATATTTTGAATCTCTAACAAAATAATCATATACTTACATTTTCTTTTCAATTTTCCCTACAATTCTCTTGACAATTAACATTATAGTATCATAGTGTTAAAATCACTAAATATTTTTCCCAGCAAAATATCAAAATAGATTTATGACAACAAAATATTCCTATCTAGAATCCTTTAGTCACTAAACTAACAAGTTTTTAGCATTAAAACAGCTTTTAAAAAGAAAGGGGGGCATATAACGAGGTTAACCCACCAAACTGGTCGGATTAGCCGGTTTTCTCTGGGGTCACCCCAAGTCAACCCGACCACCGGTTTTTACTGCTGATTGGATCGGCCAGGTGACTAGTTGGCTAGTTTCCGATCCAACCTGGCCGGTCCAGTCTAGTCCAATTTTCAATACTATGTTTTCTGGTAAAAAGTGCGCAGAATCCAAATCTCTTCTTAAGTAGGTAGAATATTTGAAAAAGAAGATATAAAATATGAAAAAGAGAAAGACTAACAAGTATTTCAGAATAATCAGAGCCTGAGAAAGATAGCATAGAAATTTAAGACACACTTGGAATTCTCTTAGCATCGTGAATAATATAATAAAGTAAACAGATGCATTGAATTTCCCCAATTTCTAGCAATGAAGTGAAAAAATGAATAGAATCTCCCTCAAGTTTTTTTTTTTGGGCCTAAAATCTCCCTCAAGTTTAGGCTTAGACCATTAATTGATTCCTTAGTGGAATAATTGTTAGATACAAACCAAAATCTCTAATATTTAATTATTCACTAGAAATACAAATGAGCAATAGAGATGTCTCAAAAATGAAAGGGGCTTAGTCACCTAATCTGGAAAAGTCTCTTTATTTCTTTTTTAGCCAGAAAGAAGGCTCTATTTAGCAAGAATCCAAAATTGAAAGACGATTATATGGTCAAGCATAAATTCCATAAGAAAAGTTTGGAAGGAAAAAATGGACATCATAGACATGTTATCATCATCGGTATTTTGGAAGTCACAAACCTTATCCATGACCCTAATTTTTGGAGGATAATTTCTGTCAGCATGCTCAAGAGTATACCGCAACATTTCAATTATGGTAAACTCAGTCACACAATCATCGCATTCTGCAGGAATAATAATCAACTGTTAAACTTACATCAACATAAAAGAATCTTAACCTGAATGAAAACTCGAAAAACTACCTGGGATATCAAAAATTTGAGTTGGTGGAACTCCTAGCAGCTCTACCAAATATGCACATACACGAGCACGATCAGATAGTGAAAGAAGATCCCCATGCGTGACCACAAGCACTGGTTTGTCATCTGCAATTAATCGAGATGATTATTTAACTAACAATACAATTTGGAACTAATTGAAGGAAAAATATGATGAATAGCAGAGAGAGATGCGGACGTCAATGAGGAGAAAAATTAAATGGCTGAAAAGTTGTCTAATTTGCAGAATATATAGAAGTTCTCATAAATTAGTGATTCTTCAAGATCTGTTCCAGCCTAATATATACAAGAAACAAAAGAGAAGCAAATGTTTCGCACTTAGATGACATGCTGGAACGGCACTAAGGCAAGGAAAAACAAAAACAAAAACAATGCAAGACTTCCAAGTTCCAGAAGCTATATATCAGTAATTTAGCATATCAACTATTGAAAGGAAATATATAAAGAAAAAGAGGAGTCGAAGCAGGTAAAACAAAGTTCTGTAAATTTTACAGAACTTAGGTTAATTCATGCGAAAATTCTCAGTTAACTTTCATATGGCATATTATCTCAAAAGAAAATAATATCTCCATCAAGAAATAAGAAAATGCACACCTCAAAATGCTATTTACAAGCTACATAAGAGAAGAGTAAAAAAGACAGCGAGAGTATTTGGGAGAAAATCATCTGTGCTTGAGATTTAAGGACTAGAACAAGGCAAAAGAAAGAAAAAGTATATGTCCTTACTCTTTAGTGAGAGTTTTGAACTACTCACTTTCTTAAAATACCATGCTGGATAAGTGGATATGCAGTATTTCTTTCTCTCAAGGTGGACTTTATATTGCAAATTGGGCTAGGTCTACATTTCTCAGCCTTTACTGACTTTGGCATATTAAGAAAAGAAAGCTAATCACGAAGCCTTACATCTCATGGTTGAAACATATCAGAAGCAGCCGAGTTTCGGCCATGTCAACAACAGACTCAGCAGATATGAGGTACAAATATATCACACTCACAATCCTTTGATCTAGCTGTGTTCATTCATTTTTATATTTTCCAAAGTTTGACATGTCGACATGCCCAAAGTTCATTATATAGCTATGGTTCTTAGATGTTAGAATAGATGAATAGAGGCACACTTGTTTAATATGCATGTAGGCCTATAGAGTATCTGTTCCAATACACATAGAAAAGAAATACAAGCAGTTACAAGAAGCATATCCAGGAAAAAAATACATCTGTCTTATAGACACCTTTAAATGACAGGTACGGGCAATTGAAAGTAGAAGCAACCATATCAGCATATCCTCTCTCCGAAGCACCAGTGTTCTCCAGTGATTTTAAAAGTGAAAGGCCATTAGCAACATATATAACAAAATTAACTTTCATCCTCTTGCTGAAAAAGAAATCAGTCTTGCAAGCCCTATGCTTTAAAAGTTTCTTCAGACGCTGATCATCAGTGCTCCTGATAAGAAATCCCCATTAGGTGAATTGAATATAAACAACGAGTGAATTAAAAATGTTATGTAAATTGAGCGTTCATACCTCAGAACAAGCTCTCCATGACTAACACCTTTTGTCATCCACTGATACAGAATTCTATCATCGTCATTTGGATTGCCAGACAAACAACGTGTATCATACAGACAGATAGAAGTTGAGCTTCTTGGAATCATATACTCCTGGAGAAAGTATGTCCCATCTCCTGTAGATGAATTACCTGGCATCAGAAGATAAATTAAAAAAAATTTATTCAGACAGCTCAATATCCATTTATTCCCTGAGTCAAAGATATCCTCAAATTGAATCTTCAGCAAACAAATTTAAACAACACATTGAATGTCATACATGATACTTGTGCTCTTGCTGTTGCGTATTTGCCAACCTCAAATACTTTGGAGATTCTATTTATTAGACTACTTTTACCAGACCCTCTTGGACCAATCAATATGAGGCATGTTGTCTTTGGTACATCATAATCACTTAATTTCAACCCACCCACATTCTCTGTCCATACTCCTGGGCTGTAGCTGTAACAATTAAACCAACATATATGGCATAGTCAGTAAGAAAACTTTGCGATTTCATATCAGGCTTGTGTTAACTGAAGATCCCTTTTAACTGCACTCACCATACGTTGTTAAATGCAAAAAATTGAAATTAGTCTTGGTTTCACAGTACGGTATAAATCATCAAATAAAAGTGAAGTATTTTAGCAGTAAGCCATAAGTGAAGAAAGACATGCATGCAAAATATAATGTGAAGCGCACGGAGCTGCAAGTTCTAAATGACAGATATTCTGAAATAATAATAATAATAATAATAATAATAAAAATACCTATAGTGAACAAGCAAATGTGCAAATACATAATAAATTAGCAGTTTGGCACACTTGATGGTATACTACACAAATATTTGACCTCATGCTGATTCTTGTGACTAAGGTCCCGCATTCATTTGCCAAGAAGTAAATGTTACATCATTGAAAGAAACAACAAATGCCGCTCCCATAATGCTGACTTATCAATGTTTCTATTTTTTACCCTTACACCAAAGTTTGATTTTCTAAATTTCTCACCATAAACTTCGACGGATGAAGTGTTATCTTTTAGTAATATAAAAACAAATATCAATACAATATATAAAACATGAGAAACTTGAGTTCAAATCAATACCTCAAAATTTTCTCTCTTTCCTCTTTCAGATTCTTGCAACTAATTGTCCTTTCATCATATTTCTGCAAGATTTCTTGGTAGATGCGATGTTTTCTTCTGTTATTGACTTCAAGATCAAAAGAAGAAGAAGAAGGCCCGATATTTATCTCCCCAGTTTCTACTCGTGCCAACCCATTTTCCCCATTCACAGTGTCATTTTCAACCTTCATGCTCAAGCTATCCCTGAAACATAAGAAGATAACATAAAAAGGACATAATTAAATTAAAGGAACCGAATCAACTTTAGACCACTATTGTAGTGCGCCTACTATTATTCCAGACCCATTTTTGCAAATATGTTGCCCCAGGAGAAACTTTCAATTCTCCCCTCAAATCCCCAAATGACAGTGGTCGCCAATGCCTTAGCATTGTCTATCTTGCCGTTGCCCTATAACCATATACTGTCGTATTGTATCTGTGACAGTATCACTACTTAGCTCACAACTACAGAGGAGTTTGATAATTCATGGTTTATACAAGAACATGAGCCACTGATCAGACTGTACCTTGTAAGAGTGGGAGAATTGGAAGAAAGGGTAGAAAAAACGACATCTGAACAAGAATCTTCACCTGTACACAATCATCGAGCAAATAGATAACAAGCGCATAACAAGAATCTCATATGTTTTGCATCAATTTAAACATAGATAAACAGGGAGGGAAAGTATACAAAAAACACACACACACCCACAGAGCACTTAATCAGATTGTTTCCGTATTTTGAATTATCCTACAAAGGAATCGAACAGAAATTACATGGACCCCTCACTTTCTGAGAATCAGAACAGAATATTTACAGAGGCCCCAGAACGCTACCTTGAGACGAAATTGAATCGCCACCCATGGTGTGCTCTGTTTTGCTCAGTGATTACCTTCACTTCTATAGAGCTAAGAGCATTTCCTTGGGTTCTATACTGCCTCTCCCAGGGAAAGTCAAATCGGGAAAGATACTTCGCGGGTAAGAAAATGGATGTTTTTGTCAATGAACTCGTCAATTTGCCTATGTGTATGTATACACACACACTCACTGTCTCTCACCTGCCCGCGCGTACGAGCTTGTTGGCCCCGTGCGACTCAGTTGCATGATCTCACTGAGCACACATGCTCTATAAGCAGCCAATGACACGTGTATTTATCCAAAGTCAAAAGTCAAAACTATTTTCGGACCATTTGTTCTGATTTTTGCACATATTAGTGATGATTATATAAGAAGTGATTTATTGTACACCTCTAGTCCTATTTATAAGACAGAAAAAAGATATTTTTTGATTCTATTTATAAGATATAAAGAGAAATTTTTTATATAGATATATAATTTTATCCTTTATTTATTATTGTATTGACTTTGTTTACATAAGCTATAATACATATTAAATAGAGATATAATAGGAAAATTAAATTTTAAATAAGAGTTAATAAAGTTTAAAATTTTTCTTGGCTTGTGTGAAACATACTGGAAGTGACTCTTAAATATGACCAGAGGAGTATATATTATAAAAGAAAAGTAAAAATTATTTACAGGCCTTAATTATAAGACTTCATTTGTGAACTACAAATAAAGTTTTATAATTAGAATCGAAAGTAGTATTATTTAGGGATAATTAATTGAGAGGTCCTTGTAATTTCCTTCCATTTTGAACCAGATGCCTAAGTTTTTTTTTTTATTAGATCCTTTAACTTCGTGTTGTTAGAGCGGTTACTCCTTGAGAGTTAAAACTGTTAAATCAGTATTAACAGAGTTAAACTCCGTTGGGTGGCATTAAGCTGGACCATATTCTCCTTCTGCTCCCTTCTACCAAAACGCTCTCTCTCTCTACTTCGTCCACCACCATTTCTCTTCTCTTCTCTGACCCGAAAGCCATCCCGGAGCTCTACTTGTCTCAGTAGAGAGAACATGTGGGCGCTGGGGTGAGATCATGAGGCTTGGCCAAAGAAGATGGGTTTTGGCTGGAGAGGATTTTGGAGACAGTCGTTGGGGCTGTGCACGATGGAGCTAGTGGTCATTAGTTACAACTGTTTCCGGTTGGAGCTTCCATCAGGGATGACCCTAAAAGATTTGGACTTGAACAAGAATTTTGGTCTTTCAATGTCGAGAGCTAAGTACCTGCTCACTGTACCAAGGTGCTGTTTTCGTACCAAATCTTAGAGAAATGGATAAAAATCGGTTGATGTAAACAAATGAACAAATTCGAGATTATCATTATATATGTGCATATATGGATGTAATAGTTAAACGACATGCTTTGTTAAAACATTATAAAATTGCCAAGCAGGATCAAATCAAGAAAATTCGTCCATTCATATCTAGACTAAATTCTTCATGCTCGCAATATGGAAGGACAAGATGCAGGAATGATGAAACGAGAGAGGAAAGAGATGGCGGTGGAGGGAGGAAGCAGAAGGAGAATTTGGTTCATCCAATGCTCTCTAACGGAAATTTAACTTTGTTTATTTTTATTTAACAGTTTTATATTTCAAGGATTAACGGCTCTAACTGCATAAAGTTAAAGGAGCCAATAAAAACAAAAAAAAACTTAGGGACCTGATTCAAAATTGAAAAAAATTATAAGGACCTCCAAATTAATTATCCCTATTATTTAGTACTCCTTTATAAGGTAGAGAGAAGAAACTTGTGCTATTAAAATTTTTTTATGAATGTATAATTTTACCCTTTATTTATTTTTTTAACCATATTTTACCTTTCATTTATTATTATGTTGACTTTGTTTTCATGGAGTATAATATATATTAAATAGAGATAAAGTTAAAAAGTTATTAAATTTTAAACAAAAGTTTATGAAAGTTAAGGTTTTTCTTAATTTATGTGGAATACATTAAAAATGACTTTTGAATAAGACTAAAGGAGTAATTTTTTGTGTATCTTGGTTGATAAAAAATAATTTTTAATTATTTTCAAATTTTATGATATGTCCGCATGTTTCGTATTTTTATGATATTTTATCTAATTTATTATATTTAATTATTTTAGAATTTACACACAGTAGTCAATTTTAATTAGAAAAAGCAAACTCACTCCATGGTTTGTGATTGGGACCGTAAATTTTTTTTTATAACTAAAGCATAGATATCATAGAGTAATCCTATTCAAAGTACTGTTAGGTACTAAATGTGAGCATATCTCCTAACATGAATTCAAACCTTAGTTCGCTACATTGTGAAGAACTAATCCTTTCTGCTAAACCCAATTCCGTTGGAATGAGACCATAAATTGAAAGAACAGATCAAACAAAAGTGCCGTATTTAAGAGTCCAAGTGAGATACACTGGGACAACATGCAGCTTTAAAATCTGGCAAGGAGGGCAAAAAACCAGATGGAGACCTAACTTGGTGAACCAAGCCCAACCCGGTCTTGTCTCAGACTAAACCGGTCCTCAAACCAAAATTTTTAGCTTGATCATTTTTCAGACGACCAAACTCCTACAAATTTCCACAACTTTCAACAGGAGGAGGAGGTGGAGCAACCAAGTAGAAATAATGAACAAAAGGACTTACTTTTTTTTTCTTTTTTTTTTGGTGATAAACAAAAGGACTTACTTTAATACCATCATTATCATCATTCTTCCGGTTACATAACACAACTAGCGTCCATTCTCAGCAAACAATTCCAATTTCGCAGGACTAAAAGCTAACCACACATTTATCAACCAAAATGAAAGAATGTAGTAGTAATTCAAAAGCCAAAATTTACAGTTTACCATCCCACTAATTTACAATGCTATCGCCAGAATGAGGAACTAAAAACAAATCTATGTACAGTAACATGATGTGGTCGTTAACAATGCGAGACCTTTATATCTTCTAAATGTTGAAGGTTAGACGCTGACACACCTGAAGCTTGAACTCAGTTATCTTCACCAACAGATTCCTCTTTCTAAAATTTGATGAATAGATTTGGATATGGTATGAAATAGCAATTCCTCTGCCTCTGCTTCTGCTTCTGCTTCTGCTTCAGCAATCTTGGCATATAATAGCAGCATTTAGTTTCTGGATCAACGGCCCACAAGCCAACCTGGTTTAATTATGATGTCTTCCTTAAAATTACGGCCTGAGACAGACAGCGACTCGCCTTGTCGACGGTAACACTGCAAAAGATTTCAAGTGTGATGAAAACAATCCAAACTTGTAAAACAATGCAATGCTTAGCAGCGAAGAGCACATAACAAGCTAAAATATATGCCCTGACATAAACTTCAATTGAGAGTTAAAAGAATTTTGTCAAACTACCAACCAGAATTTAGTCAACTTAGTCCATTGAGGAAGACATAATACAAGTGAAGCCCTTCAACTCCATAAATACATCAACTTCTACCCCTTAAACTTCAAATTTTAATTTGAATTTTAATTCCTGTTCATGTTTGTTCGTCAAGCCATCATCATTTGAGAAAATAACATCGATCTCATTATGCCATCACAGAAACCAAAAACACGCACTTACAAGTGAGGAGGATAACTGGATAAGCATCGCTAATCAAGAAATATCTTTTTACCCTGAAACTTATTTTTCCTAATAGTAACTCAGACTGAAGTTACAAGTTTTGGGAATCATTCAAGTAATGGGTTAAGAAAGTTGAATAAAAATCAACAGTACTTCTCTTAAACCCCCAGGGACCAAAGTTCATAATGGAAGCAACAATTAGAGTAGAAAAACAATCTCATTTTGAGGATTAATTTGATCAATTCCACCGTTCACACCACAATCATTTACTCTGTTGCACAAACATGCACATAAGTTCTAAAATTGCACATAGCCGCATGACTGTAAAACGAGGTACGGAATGCACAAACCTTGTAACATACAACGGTATCATCAGGGTACATTGCAAATAACTTAGTACCAAGACGTGCATGACAGGAATCACACAGACTCTCATCATTGATCTGTACATGCCTTGACCTCTCCTCCAATCTTGACAACCTAGCATCTATGTCTACGGCACGGGAAAGGCTGTGCACAATCTGGGAAAGAAACTTTTAAGTTACAGAACTATCGGATCGTAAAATTTGTAGGCTGCATAAGCACATGACATGAGGGTATCGAATAGAAAATACAAAACTAGAGGACCAAAATTTGAATTCTGCTGCTAACTGTATGACACTTGCATTTGTATTGGGGTAAGACAATCTTTACTGACTCCTTTCGGATTACAGCTCATGGTTGTTTTAAGGTGGGGTTTGCTAATCTTCAATATTCATAAACATTGGTCAGCTTTGTAATGTTAATGAACATCCCCGCCTTTCACTTTTATCGGAAGACTGGTTCTTTCCCCAGTTATATTGGTTCCCTTGTTACCATGTGCAAATGAAAAGCCCATTGAGCAAAGAGGGAAAACATGGACGTACCTGCCCTTGACGATGGTGATGAACCCGGGCCCTTAACATTCTTAATAAAGTCTCCGAAGCAAGTTGGAGAGGCATATCTGGTGACAGTTTCTGTCAATGCCAAATTTTTGTTAAGACTATAACCCAAAACTTAAAAATACAAAAGATGAGCTAGTGCTATTCTGCAAGAGATTTTACATCTGTTAAAACCCCTTTTTTATGAAAATAACATCCTGCCCATGAGTTGATGGCTTCATGCAGCCTTGTGATTTTTACAAGGGGTTTATTTGTTTGTTTGTGTATAGCTGTCTAATCTTTCCCTGGAAAATACTTATTCCCCTAATCTTGATGCCGAAACACTTCCACTCCTTTCATTCTTGTGCAAGTTGCCAAGTATTCTTTGTTTGTTTTTTTTTTTCAGGGCAAATAGGATTGAACATGGAACGAAAATATTCCGAATAATATTCTTCTAGATTATTGGAAAAAATTGAATTCAATACCTCTAGAACTTGCAATGGGTCCAGAGCTTCTCCATGATTATGGAGAAGGCGGACAGCAGCAGTAAACATCGGATCCTTGCCATCTTGTGGATCCAAATACATTTCAAGCAATCTGATGTCATTACAACATTAAAGAAAAGGCAAAAGACTGTTATAAGACGTGCACTTTTTAAGAAGTTTTACACCAAGAAAGCATGCAATGGGTAAAAGGAA